AAGTTTATTTTGCTCGCGGGGGCTTTGAAATAAATGCAACGCCATTAACATGGTGTTTCGTCCACAAGCCTTTCAAGTTGGGCTTTAAAATTTCAAAATTTAAAATTTTTTTTCACAAGTGCTTTTTGTTTTTATAAACAAAAACAAATAAAATGAGATTTAAAATTCCATCTGAAATGTGTGACTCTGTGGAAGTAATGCAACATCAGGTATCCATTTTTAGCCCCGCCCCCTAATGACCGGTGTAGGTACCAGATTGACTCGGGCTGCCAGATTGACTCGGGGGCCTGCGCCTTTTGATGACGTCATAATATGGCAACTCCGCCCGTCACTATATGGCAACTCCACTCAAACAAACTACATTGCGCCCGCGGTCTCTATTTGTCACAAATCTATTTTATTTAGCCAATAAACAGTAATCGTTTGGCACTGTCCGTTAATTGACCAAATACCTATAATACATTAAAACATTAATTTTTCATTAATTTTTTACAGATTACAGGCAGGGGCGGATCTAGAAAAATATTTATGAGGTGGCAAGAAGGGGGCAGGAATTTTTTAGGGGTGGCAACATATGGCATTTATTTACACTGAATTTAATCACAGTTATCACAGTTTGGTGAGAATAGTATGTACAGTACTAATGTTTCATGTGAAACAGTTCATATTAATAATACATCGTACAATGTGATCTCACTTAATAGGAGATAGAAGAATGATAACACTACTTCTAGAGGGGCCTTATGACAGGAAAGGTATTAAGGTAAGACACAGGTGCTGAGTCGCAGATGTGTGAGATTGACTGTCAGAGAGGAAGCTTTGCAGCATTTGCACAAGAAGAAACGATAGAAAGAAAAAGTTTCCCATCAGAGATCTATGGACTGAGCTGGACTAAAGTGAGCAGAGCTACACAGTAGAAATAAATGGGTCAAGGCACCCGAACAAGGTACTGGACATCTATGTAATGTTTACTCTGAAAACACATTTACCCCATTTGTTCCTCAGTAACTTGACTTACAGCAGTTACGGCAACATGAAAGGGACATTTTATGCATGTAGATCTGCTGTAGATAGAGCTGTATATGGAGGACCAACTCTGCCATATTTAAAAATACATACAGAAATAAATAAATGCTCAATAAATAAATAAGCATACAATTAATTGCCACCAAAAATACAATCAACAAATAAATGTAATTAGAAATTATATTATAATGGCAGGCAGAAATGTTAAAAGGGCAGGCAGAAAGAAATAGCGGCGAAGAAATAACTAGGGTAAAAATATACAAAGGAAGAATAAAACAGACAAAAATATTATAACATGCACATAAATAAATACTTAAAAATATAAGTCATTAAAAAAATGAAGTTGAAGATAAAAAAAGGACAAAAAAATACATAAGGTAAATATTAAAAAGGCAAAGAAATAAAGAAGCTAATTAAAAGAGTTATATACCTTTATGACTAGCTGTATAATTTAATTTCTACTTACATTTATTTGTTGTTTGTATTTTTGGTGGCAATTAATTGTATGCTTATTTATTTATTAAGCATTTATTTATTTCTGTATTTATTTTTAAATATGGCAGAGTTGGTCCTCCATACTGCTGTATCAACAAATCAACAAAAAGGCGGGTTCTGTATGTTACATCAAAATCTCCACAAATCTGAAAAGAAGCAACATAAAAATACATTTTGCTTGTGAGTAGGTTCATACGGGTCATTTCTGGATAGTTTCATATTATATATACAAAAAAAGAAACAACAACACTGCTTCATATTAAGCAGGATTTACACCAGTATCACATTTTTACTTTTAACACTTTTGGTTTTATTAAAGGAAATATCAGATTTTCTCAGGTGCCAAAACAAAATGTAACAGCTCTGTAAAGGCTCACCAGAGAGCAAACATAAAGTTAACATGACTATAACAGCTGAATGCAGCGATTTCCATGTTGCTCGGCAAAACGCTTCACAACTTTATTTAGATCCAATCCCTTTGTGCGTTTTGATTTGAGTACAATCAAACTTGATCGTCTCTTTTCTGTCATAGTTGACCGCAAATATGTCTTTATGAGGCTGAAACGTCAGGCCTAACTAACATCATAGTTAGAGAAATAATGTTCTGCAACCTGATTTTTATCATCTCAAAATCAGCATTGCAGCTATGCTAGCAACATTGTGCTTTCATTATGATTTCATTTCTCGATAGATAGTTAATCAATTTTTACCTGTTTCATCCCGTGTCTCCTCTCCCCATCACCGCAGGCTCCCTCACTTTGCCCCGCTCGGTTTTCAAAACAGTCTCAGTCGCTCTCGCGTCATTTCGTGCTGCATTCACTGCAGTCCGACATTGGAAATTAGCGGTCGCAATTCTCAAATGATCCATAATTTATAAGCCTCGCCACCCTTACCGCCAACTGGGGTGGCAGCTGGGGGGGCAAGGCTGTCATTTAGGGGGGCAGTTCCCACCCTATGCCACCCCAGTAGATCCGCCTATGATTACAGGAAATGGGTATATATTTTTTTCAGTTTAAACTTTATTCTCATGTAAACACAAACATTTAAACAAAAGAGCTGGTAAAAAAATGTAGTTTGTTTGAGTGGCGTTGCCATAATGTGACGTCATCGGGAGGCGCAAGGCCCATGGCGAATTTGGTGACGTCATCGGGAGGCGCAAGGCCATGGCGAATTCGGTGACGTCATCGGGAGGCGCAAGGCCCATGGCGAATTCGGTGACGTCATCGGAAGGCGCAGGGACCATGGAGAATTTCTTCGTAAAATTGTCCGTTTACAAACCGCAATCCCGCTTTCGAATAAAACCTACACCCCGCTATAATTACTTTAGTAAGCTGTCCAGACCAATCAAAATGTTTTGCGCAATTGTGCAAACGTTGAAACAATTATGTATTGTGACGTCATCAAAAGGCGCAGGCCCCCGAGTCAATCTGGCAGCCCGAGTCAATCTGGTACCTACACCGGCATCGTTGGAAACTAGAGGCTCAGACCTTTCCAAGGAGGGGTCAGAGGTCATTGTGCGACCATTTCAGGTGATGTAACCGGTAGTGTTGCACCGTTGCCATTTTTTGGCCCCCATACCTGGCTGTGCAGTATCAGCCGATACCATCTGTTTGAAATTGATGTTAGTGGATATATGAAGAACTTCATACTACTTGGATGTAAAATAATCACCATCATGGCTTCATGTCAAGCTGCTGCCTTCCTTAGTGAAGCATGAAAAAGACTAAAACAAAGTGAATCCAGTGGAACTTTTTATTGCCTACCTGGAATTGTCATGATCTGGCCTGTTTGCTCTCCCTTAATCAGTCATTCCTTTCACCTGTCGTTTTCCCTCCCTGCCTCAATTATCATTAATTCCTCTCACCTGTTTCCTCTGGTTTATATTCAGTTCAGCCTGAGCATTCAGGGCCAGATCATCACTTGTCTTTCTGTTAGCCTGTCTGTTAGTTTTGTTCCTTGGTTCATGTCCTGGATCCTAGCAGCCAGTGGAAAGAGGGTTTTAGTGTTTGTCTCGTCTCCTGATCGTCCACTGTTCCTCCCCCGCGGAGTCCTCTGGGTTTTTGGCTCATTATGGGGGGAGGTTCAGTTTTTATCCAGTAAGCCTGGCTCCTGGGTGGAGACCAGTTTAAAGTCCTGTATCAAGTTCCGGTTCCACGTCCTGTCTCGGCTACCCTCTTCCACTGAGTCTGCTCATCTGCACCTGATCCTGTCTGCTCCTGTGCGTGACCACCTGGTCATGCTTCTGGTCCCAGTCAGACTCTGAACCCTCCTGGGAGCCTGTGGATGCCTGGAAGTCTGGATCCTGTCTGTTCTGGATCCCTGACCAGGATCAGCTTCCAGCAGGACCTCTGGGACTGCAGCACTTGGGGACATTCTTGGTCTGGACTGTTAAACCAGGTAAGTGGCCCACTCAGATAATCTTCTGTCAGATGATCCTGGTCACTTACCTGTGTTTCTCCCACTACAGAGTGTCTGAGATTGGGCGGTGCCCCGCCCCCCCCGACTGCAGTGTCCAGGAGCCACAGCTCCGCTTTAGTTTTGTTTATTTAATAAACGTTTTGAACTTTCCTACTGCCTGTCTCTCCTTGAATACTGGGTCCATCTGTCCGCATTTATGACAGGAATGGGTGAGAATAGTTGAAGAAACTTTTGCCTCTTAAAATGGTATCGGTGCCCTATTGGTTGGTACTCGCCGATACTGGTATTGGTATCGGTGCAACACTAGTAACTGGCACGCATTTTACAAGCCTGCTCTGTTGTTCTTTTTTCCTTTGGTGATATTATTGGTAAATACTGAAGAAACAATGACTAAATCTTAGGAGCAAAGGCTTTGTCTTATGCAGACGGTCTCTAATAATGTAAATCAGCATATTTGTCTGACCGGATTCCCTTTTATGAGTGGAAAAAAATTTATTTTGCCACTGTGCCAAAATCCCATTTCCTCCTGCACACTGCCCACTAAAACTTTTGTGGAACAAACATGCTTCAACTGATTCAGTCCAAATCTGCTTGACTTATAGTCAAGATGTGGATCTATAAAGTCTGAGGTTTTGTCCAGAGTTTCAAATGGGCTTTTATGGTGTTTATTTTGGAACATTTGCTAAATATTCTACATTTTTTTCCTTGTTTAATCACCTATAAATCAGACTCGTTGATATTAAAAATAGTGATTCCACCTCAAAAATATTCCTCTGTTCCTTTCTGTCACACAATGACAAACAATTGTTGTTACAATTTATAGTTTGGGAGCTGTGCTTGCTTTAATTCACATATTTCATTTCAGGTGGAATTTGCTCCTAAGAGTATAGATTATATTTAGACTCCTAACGATTTCCATATAAGCAGTTAAATATCAGAATGTTTCACCAAGAAGAGGCAGCAGGATTTCATGTTTTGTTCTCAGGAATCTATGAAAGCCGTTTCAGGTTTTTTTATGTGTCGTATGAAGGTGGTTTATATGTTCATGGAAGAAGCTGTACCTGTCTGAATGATTGGCCTGGCGCCTGCAGGGCACAGTGTTGCGGACGCACGTGCCAGTTCCTGGGTCCACGTTCTCGACCATGACGAAGGGATGCTCCTCCAGGGTGGCCACCGTCAAATGGCGGTCATCAGATATGTGCTCCAGGAAGCTGCCATAGCGCGGCCAGATGGGGTAGCGAACCTGAAGGATGCCGCGAGCAAATGTGCCTACCTGGAACACGGGGAGAGAAAGAGCTCATTGGTATCATGAACATGCCCGTTCAGATCCGAGCAGCGACCTTCATGTCAACCTCTTTTCTTTTCACACGCCATTCCCTGCAGGCATGGGGGGAATTTATTCAATTATTTAACGGCATTTGCATGTGCTGACCTGCGGAGCAGAACATGAAAGGAGAGCAAAGAGGCCAGTTTATTCAGAGATTCTGCTTAAAACAAGAGGAGTGACAAACACCTAATAAATGCATTAACAGCTCATTATGAGATGCCTTTAATGTGGTCAGATTTTGTTGATTAATGCTGTAATCATTCATCTTTTTCACTCAAAATCTTTAAAATTATAGTTTATTTTCTGCAATACACCAACAGTGACTTTAATTCACATTTCTTCTTTTTTGGTTTTTTTTGGAAATGCTCTGCCTTACAAAACTTTGTGTGTTTTTATATTTTTCATAAAAATCTAAAGCTGAAAACCATTTTTTTCAGGTTTTAGAATTGAAAATCATGAAGTTTTAACACAGATCCAGATATTTATTTTTTATTTATTTATTTTTTTTATTATGTGTTTTAACAGTGTTTTATTATTTTTTAAATTTTTTTTATTTGTTTTTATTTTATTTTTATTTAATTTTATTCCTAATGCACCTTTTCCTCCTTGTTTGTACCTTCTTTAATTACTATGCCAATATGTGACCATTGAATTTCTCCGCTGTGAGATCAATGAAGCTCATCTAATCTAATCTAATCAGTGTCTCTCTATACTTTAGGAGTTTTGCACAAGAAATCTAAAATAAAAACTTGTCAACCAATTGCAAACTACAATGAGCTGATCAGCCTTCGACTTGTGGTGCTAGCAACATTTTGGTTTGGTACGGAAGCCCAGAGCGGTCGTGTCCCTTTGATATTTTTTTCACGGCAGTTTTCTCTAAAAATACAAAGTAATTTTCTCATTATCTACAGATAACAAAAGCAATTTCTCATGTTAAAGAGATGATTGCTGTTAAAAACAGATTACATCCTACAATACCAGAACAGCAGGAGAGGATTTATAAGTAGAAGTCAGCCTGTATGTAATTCTGTAAATAATCCTTTGTTTAACTTTTAGGTAACGAGACAAGGTTGTTGGTTTGATGATTTGCTTCCACTTCTGATTCATAAGCAATTAGACTTATGCCTCCTGCGCCTTCGCTGAACAGCCGTTAGCTGTTAGCAGTCTGAACAGGCCCCCGTGTTACACCTGTAACAGGTACAAGATGCATTAATCCCCGAAATGAGTCCAGATTATAGATTGTCATTAAGAAACAGATTTGTTTCTACTGTATTCCATGGAATCATCCACCACGAGCTGACAATGAGTGAAAAGAACAAGGAAATAAAAAAACGGATCATTTGTGCACACGTTGTGCACACGACTGCCCAACTACAGGTCCCGCAGGCATGGATGGACTGGGAATCCAGGGCTGTTTGCCAGCCTCATTCATTACTCAGACAGGTTCATTATCTCGTTATCTCAACAAATCAATCAATGTTTTGTCGTGATAACGAAGGGGAATAATGGTGAAATGGCACATTTAGAGGATGTTTGGCTCAACCTGCTAGCCTCATGAGACCATCCTGATCTCGCAAGCCTTCAAGGTTTCACTCTGGAGACTCTCCGTTAAAGAAAATTTGGCGCCGTTCACCAAACGAACGTCCAATCAGCGTTGGCTTTGAGGCGGGTTGAGGTGTGACGCAACGAGAAGCGTGACAGTTCAGTCTAAAGAACATGGCGGCTTCAGCCGATGAAACTAGCGTTAGCCTGGCTATCGAGCAAGTTTTATCGGAATTACAGAGTATTTCTTGACTGAAAGAAGAGCAAAACACTGCTCTGGAGGCTTTTCTCAGAGGAAAAGATGTTTTTGCTCTTCTCCCGACTGGTTTCAGCAAGAGTTTGATCTATCAATTGGCTCCTCTTCGTCGTTGCTCTGTTAGTACGTCATATGCTTCGTTGATCTGATTGGTTTATTTGGCCCGTCTATCACCAACATAGACCAATCAGCTAACCAGTATTTTTGCCCCTTCCCAAAATGACTTCAACGGAAGGTTTCCAGATGGATATGCGGAGCAAATCCATCGGGCGGAGTCAGGTTATCAACCTGCTGCTGTGAAGCAGGATTCTCCACCATGAACAGAATCAAAAATAAATCTGGATCCAGGCTCAAAATGAGCTCCTTGATATGTGCTTGAGAATGAAAAGCAAAAAAAAAAGATCAGATGTTTAATAAAATATGTGAATCAGGATGTTTTCTATATACCAAACTGAACGATTGTTCTATTCTTTTTTTTTTTATTATTATTATTTAAAAAGTCATGTATAACATGGAGGCATAAACACCCCTTTTTACTTCAGTGTTAAATTCAGTTTAAAATGATGGATTAAAATGACAAATCTCTCCGGACCTATACTGGTTGTTGATTTTCTTTATTCGGATCCCGCTGATTTGTAATTGGTTCCTCCTGGTTTAGGTTGTACCAAAAAATTTGACGCTCTAATCATCCCACAGATGACAAACCCTTTGTTAAATGATAAAGCAAACGAAATATAAAATAGGTAAGAAGACCTTTATTCTGAAAAACACAAGCAGATTCACAGCAAAATCACAGTTGGGAGAAAGTCATAAAATTGGCATTAATAAATTGCAACAAGAAATGAAGCCGGAATTGCAAACAAGTGAAGAAGATCCTCTGCTCAGGTGAGAAACATCGTATGTTTTGGATTTTATGCATAAAGCTACCCCTAAGGATAGATGGAAAAATTCCCAGCATAGTTAAGATCATGTGTGTAACTTTATCTTATATATCATAGGAAAGATTCTTTGCAGTCTTTCCAAAGGTGTAACTGCTGGAAACTAAGCTGCTTTTAATTAATTACTGACTTTATGCACTGATCATTCAGCATCGTAATGTAAAGGCCAACAAGCATGAAGGATTAAACAGTCGGCAGCTGTAAATATCTTGTGCATAACTCATCTGTAATAACAGTAACTAGATCAATAATAATAATAATAATAATAATGCACTTCATCGAGTTAAACTCGGTGCTCTGCAGGGACAGACAGGAACCTGACTGCTTCCTGTTTTTTCACACTGTATTTCTAATTGTTTGTAGCTTTTAGCATGTCTGTAATCTTCCTCTGTGCCTCAAATTTACACGCCGTATATCGTCCTTTTTGTAAAATGCTGTTAGAACGGTTAGTGAAAACTGATATGTTATGGAAATCATAGAAGCTTTTAATCACAATATTTAATATAATGCAACTGTTCTTATGGGTCATTGGCCAGAACCGATCACATCTGTCATTTCTCCATGATTCTATCAGAATATGCACCGGTTCTTTAAGCATAGGATATGCTAACCACTTTATATTTTATGTCAACATTTGGCACAATTTGTCATTTCCTTTGCACAACAAATATCTAACATTCCTAGTTTTTGATGGTTTATCACTAATAATGCCATTTTGAAAGCTTGTTATTGTCAGGAATCCAGTTTTTGTGGGTTGTTTCTGTGTTTCCTTTTTTCCTCCACCAGGTGGTGCCCCGTCCTCATTGGGCCTCCCTGCACACAGCTCGTTGCCTCATTACCTGTGGAGTGTTCTTAAATTGCTGACTGCCACTACCTGTAGGCCAGAGTGTTTGCCAGTTTTGGGAAGTCATCCTGCAAACTGGAGTTTTTCGGACCTTCTCCCCCTGGAAGGATCAACTGAGCTTTAAACTGAGCTGGGGTTCAAACAGGAGGTTTGGATCCACTTTCCCCAAGAGATCGTTTGAGCTTCACACTGAGAAAGGGATTCATCTACATTACGACCCGTTCAAGTACCGCAGGAAATCTGAGTGGCTGTTAGCTTCTAAGTTCACCAAGGAACAACCGCAGTCTGAGTAAACCCTGTCCGCCCAACATCGAACAAGACAATCACTGGAACATCCCACACAGACTGGATTCTATAAAGGACACCTTTTGTTGGAAACGTGAGTCTGTAACCTATTCCTCCTCTTCAAGCCAAATAATCTAATTTCCCACTGAGCCTGAACTAACCGCAGTCCCCTCACCTTTCAGTTCCGGTTCAGCAGTGTTCAGAGCAGCATTGGACTCATGTCATTATTCTAATAAACCTGTAAAACTTTTCCCTGGTCTCTCTGTTTGGTCTTCTGCATTTTTGGGTCAGACCTTTAATTAAATCATGACAGTTATTATGTCATTAAAAAGGAAAAAGTAGCATAGATCAGGGTGGTGCACAGTTAGACAATAGGTGGAGCTAGAGCACCTGGTCTTTTCCCCTGTGGACAAAAGAGTCCTCTCTTGAAATAGTTTTAGTCTTAAGCCCAAAATACCATGTATGAATTTAAAAGCTTGCCAATGATGTCCACACCAGTCCTTCAAAAAGTTACGCCTGTGCATCAAAGTATAAAAAGTTAACCGATTACACAGTGGAGAACCTTTCCAAGTGGTTTTTCAGGTGGCGGAAAAAAAATTAGATATGGTGGACCAAGAACATGTAGATTTTTTTCTTTAGAAGCTGCGTCACATAGTGTTATTACATCACAGCAGGAAAGCTCCTCTGCTTTTATTCTGCTTCTACTGTGTGCGGCTAAGAAAAGAAGCCGAGTGGCGACCAGACAGTCAAAGTAGTAAAACAAAAAACACTTAAAAATAAAAGATAGTTCACAAGTCTGAAATCGCGAGTCCAAGTCAAGTCTGAAGTCGTTCAAATACAAGTCTAAGTCAAGTCAGAGGTCATTAAATATACAACTTAAGTGCTACTGAATTACAAGCCCCAAACTTGAGTCCCCATCTCTGTTCTAAGATAGCACCAAGCCATCCAGCGGAAAATGCTAATTTCAACCACTTGTATCCAGGATCTCCTAGGCGAGGGTAGGACCGTAGACTGACCAGTAAATTAAGAGCTTTGCCATTTCATTCAGTTTTCTGACTACCACCAAGGCACCAACACCCCT